AGCAAGTAAAGTTCATTTAAAAACGTCAAGAACATATCACTTCATGCCCATTAGGATAACTACAATTTAAAAAAATAAGTGTTGGTGAGGACGTTGAGAAATTAGAAGCCTGATAGACATTGCCAGTGGAGCTGTATAATGGTGCAGCTGCTACAGAAAATAATATGGTGGTCCTTCCAAAAAAAAAAAAAAAAATGAATATAGAATTACCATATGATCCAGTAATTCTACTTCTGGGTATATATCCAAAAGAATTGAAATCAGGATCCAAAAAGATATTTGTACACTCATGTTCATAAGAACACTGCTCACAGCAATACAAAGGGGAAAGCAATCCAAGTGTTCACTGATGGATGAATGGATAAACGAAATTTCGTATATACCTACAATGGAAAATGTGTCCTATTTGACTCTAAAGAAATATCCTTATAGTCAAATAATATCCTGCATTCTGAATGATAACATTCAGAGATGGCCAATTCTTCCATGAAGAATTCATTTAAAAAAATTCTTCCTCTAGCCATCTTACACAGCACACATCTAAAATGGTCCTAAATTTGTAAGAGCCTTTGCAAATTAAACAAAGTGAGACACATTCCACATGTACACAATCAGCATCATCATCATAAATAGTACAAACAGATTTCTCTAGTTGTCATTCTTATGCTTTCTTTTTCTTTTGATTTCTAACTTTTTTCTTTTTTGTGATTCCTAACTTTTAATAACATTTATAAATGAGTCTGAGTTCAAATAATTATGCTAGCTTATAAATAAGCAATAAGAAATCTAAAGCATAAATATGGTAATATGTTGTATTTCTTATCTGCAGCACATAGTACATGGAGATTTGAAAGTATGTTTAAGAATTACCTCTATAGAGAATACAACTGAATACAATCCAAAATAATGTACTTTATATAGAGTACCTCTTTTGCACATAATACTATCTCTCCAGAAGAAACACAAATGATTTAATAACCTCCATACTACGTATTTCTCCACTTGAAAAATAATCTCACACTAAGAATAACTTCTTACATGCATGAAAATTATGTAGCATATTAGATAAGTTTCTAATATAGAGATAACATCAAGTTACACTTGATAACACTTTCAATGCGCTACTGAGACCACAACTATAGCAAGAGTTCTTATAACACAACTCAAATTGATAAATGATACATATAGCAGAGGAAATCAACATCAAAATATTTATAACCATAAATAGAAGATGAGCTACTAAAACAGTCACATTGTTACACTGTTTATTTCAAAATTAAGCATGCATGAAAATTACTAATTCAAACAAACCCTTAGGCACATTGATCAGCAAAAAGTGAATGTCAAGTTCCTTTGCTTGCTCTTACACTCAACACCTACAGGACTGTGATAGAAACAAGTATTCTTAGAGTAACCACCCAAATAAAAGAGTTTGTCAGGTATTCCCTTAACCTCAATCTTGCCACAAGTCACATTCTGCTCCTATGATTACAACAGTTGAAAAGTTAGTAGCTAGACCAGGAAGTCTTGCTTAGAGATTCATAACTTTCTCATATTTTTTTCTCCCATGGCATCTCTCTGTCATGTTCACGCAATAGCTCACTCGGTTCATTCAAGCCCAGTAACAAGTTTTACTACAATGGCAGTAAAATCTTGGAGTTTGTACCATACAGTTTAAGTAAATTACAGAGTATCTATCATTGTTCCATTAGCCTGACACAGATTTAGAGTATGAACTAGTCAGTTTAGGTTCTGCACTTTCAGTCTCTGACACAGTAAGCCCCTCATCTAGCTCTGACTACTCTTGGTTTAAACACTGTTTTATATCATATATTCTTAATAAAACTCATTAGAGTTTTATTTCTGTACTTTGTCTACAGAAATTCTGTATCAGCTCATTTATCTAATTAAGATATATAATACACTTCTCTGAGTATCAATATTGACTAGATAAGCCTGGGTTTTCCTTAGCCTAATTTTTCTTGCTCTATTATTCTGTCTTCCTCTCTAACAGTATTGGGGCTAAAATTCTTAATTCTTATTTACCATCAACTCCTTTCAGTATCAGCAGCTCAAGTGGGTGAATCATAATACGAATCTACCAGGCACATTAACATACAAAGCATTCACTCAACACACATCTTATTCTAATAATTTTTATATGGAACATGTATTAAAATGACATGTATACAATTTTAATAACCATCAGACTAGTCTGGAGTAGTTATCAAATGACAATAATTTTTTGAGGAGTTTTTTTTTTTTTTTTTTTTGAGACGGAGTCTCGCTCTGTCACCCAGGCTGGAGTGCTGCTGGGCGATCTCAGCTCACTACAAACTCCGTCTCCTAGGTTCATGCCATTCTCCCGCCTCAGCCTCCGAAGTAGCTGGGACTACAGGCACCTGCTACCACACCTGGCTAATTTTTTTTTGTATTTTTAGTGGAGACGGGGTTTCACTGTGTTAGCCAGGATGGTCTCGATCTCCTGACCTCATGATCCGCCCACCTTGGCCTCCCAAAGTGCTGGGATTACAGGCGTGAGCCACCGCGCCCGGTCAAAGAGGAGATTTTTGTAAAAACAAAACAAAAGTATTTCTGATATACTTCCTATTCAATGTTGCAACATAAACAATTCAACTCCATGTAGGACCATCTAGTATACCTGAATCAATGAAATGTAGTGAACATTTATGTCAAGAGTCTGAGACAGAAAAGAGACACCTAGCTTTAAAAAAAAATCCTCACCTACAATGTACATACTAAATGAATACTGCAATCAGACAGGAACTCAGAATAAAATATTTCCCATCATAACAACACATGAATATGAGTGTGTGTGTGTGTGTGTATATATATATATATATTTCCACATTGGGCATTTTTTTCTCTAGAAGATTTTACCTAATGAGGAATATATCTTTAAAATATGAATTCAAGTCATCAATAGTATATCCTGACAGTTCTTAATAAAGAAAAAATTCCTTAGAAAGTCAAGCAGGCAGGAGCAAAAACAAACTCTTTCTCCATGAATGTTGACATTCTTATATACTAGACTAATCCAAGAGGATAATGGCGGGTTAAGAGAATGATGCTATATTAAGATATTTCTGGCTGTTTTAATAAAGGTACACTGAGAATTATTTTGTCCTTCCAATGAAGTGGTCTGAGATGAATTTTTTTTTAAGAATACTAAAATTAAATATAGAATTTAGTGGTAGGTTGAATGATGAATGTTACTCTACATTCCAGGAAGAAGCAACAAGTTTTCTCAAAACAAGACAATTGATTATTATAATCCATTATTCAAGTGTAATTCTTCAAATCTTTTGTATAATTGGAGTTCATATGAGCAAATTTTTTTCATCATATTGCTGCATTAAACAGATATACAGTCTTATTTTACTAAAATATATCTTACAAATAATACAATAATAATTTTTTTTTTTTTGAGATGGAGCCTCGCTCTGTCGCCCAGGCTGGAGTGCAGTGGCGCAATCTCGGCTCACTGCAACCTCTGCCTACCGGGTTCAAGAGATTCTCCTGCCTCAGCCTCCCAAGTAGCTGGGACAACAGGCGCACACCACCACGCCCAGCTAATTTTTGTACTTTTTGTAGAGACGGGGTTTCACCATGTTGGCCAGGATGGTCTCAATCTCCTGACCCCGTGATCCACCTACCTCGGCCTCCTAAAGTTCTGGGATTACAGGCATGAGGCACTGCGCCCAGCCAATAATTTATTTTATTCATTCAAATAAGCAAAGTCTTTTGAGGAAACTGTAAAGTTTCCACCCATATCCATAAGGAAAGTAGAACTCTTAATAATGCAATTAAATGTTATTCACTAGGTATATTTACATCCAAACGGAATCATTACATTGTTGGTTAAATTTTCACAGGACTCAAAGGACAGCTGTCTATCTTCATAGAGATAAAAATCAAGGAGGAGGAATATTCGCAATCCTTTTGAGTTAGAAAAAGAAAGATCGAGAAAAGAAAAAAATGGAGAGAGCTAGACTTTGAAATGCATTCTGAACTCATGACATTATATATGAACTTTGATATTCAATACATTTTCAGCACTCTCATAATATTTTTTAACATGAGTAGTCAATCATTAAAGAATCAATAATCTTCAAGATATTCTTGTGTTTATTCCTCACAAAATTCTCAATGACTTATTAGTGAATCCTGTGGGAGGGTAGATTACATGTGATCTGGGAGATGGATTTCCTATTAGGACACATTTAATTGTATGCATTATATGTGTCATTAAAGAAGGCACCTGGCAGCATTCAATTTTCTTTACTCTGCTTCACAGGCTTAACTAGTTTTAATAATTTTTTTAATAAACAGTGATATTATTGGGAAGGTGTGTTCATAGATAGTATGCATATTTATCAGTAAACATAAAACTGTAAAAAGATTCATGAAATAGAAAGTGACATTACTGTAGAATATATGTATTAGAAAGATATGCTAATAAAGAATGGGACTGACTGATGAGCAAAAAAATTAAAAACTGAAATCTATAAAACTCCTCAAATTCCTGTGCTATATGTAAAACATTAGAAATATATCTAACATATTCAAATGTATATTGTTATTACAAATAACTACTTTATATTTCTAATTATAATTACAAATAATTGCTATAAATAATATATTCAAAAAACTTCAAATTCTTGTAAACAAATTCAATCTGTCTTTCCCAAGCAAATCAACTACTAATCATCTTCCTTGGCTAGTAGCTACTGCCACATTGGCTAGATATTATCAGCCATCAGCATTCTTCCTTGAAAATCGATCATTAATCATGACATCATTCCTTCTAAAATCTATTCTATTTCTAAAAAGAAACTTTTCTGTCAGACTTCAATACATGCAAAACACAGTATTAGAAAAGAAAAAAATGTTGTACCTTAAATAAGTTTTCAGATAAAACTCTTTTGAGAGAAGGAACACTAATAATTTATACTTAATACTGAAAGCAAAATACTCACAAAGAAGGATCTTGTACGAGATCTTTGAGATTTATCCCACTGCGATCTTCTGCAAGATTCCTGAAGCAACTATCACTCACTAAATAAGAATGGGGAAAAGAAAAAAAAATTAATTTTTGTTTACATTTCATTTAAGCTGTTGCTGACCAAAAGACATTTTGAAACGAAAAATGGCTTTTTTTTAAAATTTTTCACCAAATATTAATATTGGTTTATTTATAGGCCTGGTGAATTTAGCAACAAATGTTAATATTCTAAACCAGCCAACATTTCAATAACAATCCACTACTTTAAGCACACCAACTCTATATACATTATATAAAATAATAAACATATTGGTCTAAATTTTGTTCTTACTGTTACAAGATTAATTTACTAGTACACAGTAGCAAGTCATTGCCCCACAACAACTAGGAAAAAAAGAGACAAACTACAAAATCATATTTTTAAAAATATTGGTGAGCAATGGAAATAAAAAGGATAAACTAAATTTGCAGGATGATTGATGATTAATATCTCTTAAGTCAGTTAATCCTGCTGATTATTTTAATTTCTGGAAGGATTTGCCATTTAGACACAGGCTAGATAAGAAAGAAGGACACTACTAGGGAAAAGAAAAACCAGCACAGCTCTTGATAATTTGTAAGCTGGCATGAAAAACTGGAATCTGATGAAGCCCAAAATTACAGACAGTTTTCTCCCTGAAAAATTTGCTGAGTGCCAGAATTACCTAAGAAGATTTGGGGCAGCAGTTGGCAGAATAGGCCATGGGGCAAATAATAATCCCTGTAATGTTGTGGTGATTAGAAGTCAAAGTCACACTAGAACAGATGGAGCCTACCACTGTGAGAATAAAATTTTAATAGGTCTTCCCACAGATATTTGCTCTCAACCAAAAGCATCCCCTTAGTGGGTGGGGAGCAGGAGGAAATGAGTAAAGTGAGCAGGACCAGAAAGGTAGAGTAAAATCTCCAACAATTTTACAGTATATAAATACAAAGTCACCAGACAGAATAGTCTGCAACACAACAGCTCTTGTCATTAGGACATTTAAAATCAAAGGCATTCTAAGTGTATCAAAAGCTGCCACCTAAACTTGATGCAGTAAGATTCATAATTGAGTTGAGGTGATTAGCACTTGATCTTATCTTTCTAATACAGAATTGAAGAAAAATAATATTTAGTTCAATTTCTGCTGCTCTATTTTAATCAATATTTGGTATACGATAAAAATTACAAGGTATGGAAAGGGGCACAAATGTGACTAACAATCAAGGGAAAAGAGAATAAATATAAGCAGACCCACAGATGATATAAAATTAGAAGACAAGGACTTTAAGAAAGATCTTCAAAGTAGATGAAAAAAGGAAAACTTCAACCAAGAATGAAAATCTATTTTAAAAATTAAATAATGATTTTATATCTGAAAAACACTATCTGCAATAAAGCAGTTGGTGGGTGGGTTTTACAACCGACTGAATACAGCAAAGCACAGATTAGTGAATTTGAATATAGGTCAGCAGAAAATATCCACAGTGAAGCAGAGCATGAAAAAAATGAAATGAACAGAGCATAAGAGATATGTGGGAATTAAACACTTTAACACAAATACAATTCCAGTTAGAATAAAGTAGACAGAAAGTGAGGAGAAACAATACTTTCAGAAAAAGTTAAAAATTGCTGAGACTAGCCTAAATCTGATACAATATATTAACATTCTGACTTGGGAAGTATGGCAAACACCACACTGGCAAAGGTGAAAAAAACCACAATCAACACTGAAAATGCTGAAAATCAAAGATAACAAGAACACTTTAATAACAGTCAGAGGGAGAAAAAAGACATATCACTTTCAAAAGAAAAACAAGAAAACCTAAAGATGAGTTTTTAACACAAACTATCAAATCCAGAAGACAATGGGACAATATGTTTAAAATACTTGAGAAAAATTATGAATCCAAGTTGTACCTTGATAAAATATCCATCTAAAAATGAAGGCACCCATGTGTGCCACTTGTGAACTCAAAGATTGGCTCAACCAAGGCCTGCTACAACTACAGTCGGTGCGCAAACAGGGAGTCTGAGGGCCTGAGGGCTGGCCCACCCAGTGCGCACCACAAATGATGACCTCATGAACTCCAGTGGTAAGGCCACCATGTGCCTCCAATAACCACCCAGGAGCCCAAGAACCAACTCACTGCTAACACTGCCAGCAACTGTGCACAACCCTTAGGAGCCAAAGAACAACCCAACAAATATCCCTGTCCCCAGACAAGTCTTGTCGCTGACTCCATGAACAACCTCACCTGAACCCTCTTGGGAAACTGCAGACACTGCTAACATTATTTACAGCCAAAGTAATCATACAGAGACTACACTAATGCAACCACCTGAACCAAAGCCAAAACACTCTACCCAAATGACACTATAGATATGACTACAGAAAAAAGTTTACCTAAAAAAGCGAATCCACAAAACTGAAAGAAGAAATTGCTAAACATATACACAGTTATAAATGTAGGAATGCAAGACACACGAAAAAGGAAATATGACACTGCCATAGAAATATAATAATTATCCAATAACAGAGCCCCCAAAAGAAAATCTATGAAATACCTGCAAAAAATTTAAATAATAACCTTTCAAAACTCAGTAGATACAAAAGAACACAGACAGAAAATATACATAAATCAGAAAAAAAAAAAACAACCTGGTGATCTAAATGAGAAATTAAATAGAATGTCATAAAAAACAACAACTAAACAGAAATTCTGGAACTGAAGAATTCAACAATTAAAATAAAAAAATACACTTGAAAGCTTCAACAATCAAATAGATCAAGCAGAAAATAATTTTAGTACTTGAAGACGGGTTTTTAAAAATAACCCAGTCAGACAAAAGGAAAAAAAAGATTTAAAAAAAAATGAATAAACCTTTATGACATGGGAAACCATCAAGTAAATATTCACATTTTGTGAACTATAGAAGGAAATGAGTGTAGAAAAGGCATAGAAAACTTATTTGGTAAAATAATAGCTGACAACTTCCCAAAGCTTGAGAGAGAGACATCAAGATCCAGAAAGGTCAAATATCCCCAAAATACTCAACTCAAAAATGTCATCTCTGAGACACATATCTCTCAAACTGCCAAGAGTCAAAGACAAAGAAATAATTCTAAAAACAGCAAAAAGCATCAAGTTACATATAAGGGAATCCCCTTCAGACTAAGAGCAGATTTCTCAGCAGAACGATTATAAGCCAAGAGAGAAAAAAAAAATGGTTTAAGCAAAGTACTAGAACAAAAAAAACCTACTGATTAATAATACTATACCCAACAAAGTTACCTTCAAAAATGTGCATCCAAATGGATCTAAAGATGGCTTACAGACCATATTTGGTCCAACTGTAGCTGTTGGACCAAATATGGTCTGTAAACCATTTTAGATCCATTTATTGACATCAGCACACAGAACATTCTACAAGATAGACCATATGTTAGGCCACAAGACTGGCCTCAAGAAATTTTCAAAAATCAGTATCATATCAAGTGTCTTCTCAAACTATAATAAAGTAGAATCAGAAATCAGTCACAAGAGGAACTTTTGAAATTCTACAAATACATGGAAATCAAACCATTAATAAGATTAATAAAGAAAAAAAGAGAAAAGACCCTGAGAAACTTATGGTTCAATGAAGAAATTTAAAAAGACCAAAAAATTTCTTGAAACAAATTAATATAGACACAGCATGCCAAAAACTTATAGTGTACTGAAAAGTAGTACTAAAAGGGAAGTTTACAGCAATAAACACTTAAAACGATTTGAACAATTTCACTTTATCAATCTGACAAAGCATCTCAAGAAACCAGACAAGGAAGAACAAGCCAAACCTAAAGTAAGAAGAAGGAAAGATTAGAGCAGAAGTAAATAGAGACAAAAACCCACAAAGGAGCACATGAAACATTGGTTTTATGAAAAGATAAACTATATTTACAAACCAGTAGCTAAACTAATCAAGAAAAAAGGAAGACCCAAATAAGTAAAATCAGAAATAAAAAATGAGACATTACAACTGATACAACAGAAATACAAAGGATCACTAGAAATTATTATGAACAACTACACACTAAGAAATTAGAAAACTTATATTAAATGGATACATTCTTGGACACATATAACCTCACAAATTAAATCAGGAAGAAACAGAAAACCAGAGCAGATCAATAATGAGTAACGAGATTAAATCAGCAATAAAAAAGTTTCCCAACAAAAAGCCTAGGACCAAAAAGCTTTAAAAAAAGAACACCTATTTTGCTGAAACTCTTCCAAAAAATTAAAAAGGTGGAAACTCTCCCTATTCATTCTATGAGGTCAGCAGGACCCAGATACCAAAACCAAACTAGGATGCAACAACAATCACAAAGAAAACTAGAGGTCAATAGCCATGATTAGCATAGATGTAAAAATCCTCAACAAAATACTAGGAATCTGAATCCAACGGCACAACAGAAAAAAAAATACACTATGACTGAGTGGAATTTATCCCAGGTATGCAAGGATGGTTCAACATATGAAAATCAATAGATGTGCTACATCACATCAACAGAATGATAAGATGAAAAACAAATCATATGATCATCTCAAATACAAAGAAAGCATCTGATAAAATTTAACTCCCTTGATAATAAACACTCTAAAAAATTAAGTATAGAAAGATTATACCTAAACACAATAAAGGCCAAATATGAAAAAAACCCAGCTAATATCACACTGAATGGAGAAAAGCTAAAAGCCTTTCTTTTAAGAACCAGAACAAGAAAATATATACTTTTACAACTTGTATTTAAGATAGAACGGGAATTCCTTATAAGAAAAATTAGGCCACAAAAGGAAATAAAGTTCATCTAAATTAGAAAAGAGAAAGGCAAATTGTCCCTTTTTGCAGATGACATAATCTTACATGTAAAAAATCCTAAAGATTCCTCAAAAAACTCCAAGAAAAATAATAGAAACTGGGGATTCCAAAATGGGGAGGTTGGGGTGGAAAAACTACCTATTGGGTAAAATATTCACTAGTCAG